AGTGACTAAGCACGCACACACACAAAAGGAAGATGAGCCTGAACCTAACAGTACAGAGGCCACACAGGAGGTAAACCAGCTGTCTGATTAAATAGCTGCTGCAACCTTGGACATGGAGTTGACTCCTTCATGTTCCCAATGTAATTGAGGAAATGACAACTTAACCAGAAACAACCAGAGAATAAAATAAGGCAGTAAAACCACTCAGCCCGGGCAGACTGCATAGTCTACCTGTAATGGCTCGAGAAGTTCAAAGGAAGGAAACAGCATTAGAAGGGGGTAAACAGGAAAAGCTCCATGGAGATTAACACATACACACAGCTATATATAAAATAGATACTCTGGATAGCACGGGGAAGTCTATTCAGTATTTTTTAACAACCTATAAAGGATAAAAATCTGAAAAAGGACACACACACACACACACATATACCTGAATCATTTTGCTGTACACCTAAAACTAGTACAACATTGTAAATCAACTACACTTCAATTTAAGCAACCTGGCCACTCACTGCAGGAAGCGGTGTCTTAGTCAAAGCAAGAGGAAGGGCAAGGTGCAGGGTCAGGAACACACATCCACTAGATCCCCTCTCCACTCTCATTTTCTCTCCACTTTTTCCAACATGATCAACATTTACTCCGCATCAACCATGCAAGGAACTAGGCACTGGAGAAAATGACCAATAATCTCTTGGAGAGTCAGATATAAAGACAGGTAAGCAGATAAGTACCAAATAAGTCATTTTACAATCACTACCAAAAAAAAAGGCAAGACAGTGGATGCTAGTATGGCTGGCTGGGAAGCTGTTCTTGGACCACATGATGCTTGGCCAAGACTTGAAGGAGAAGTAAGGCTCAGAAAGCAGAGAGTTAAAATAGAGGTATTACGGACAGAAAGTAGGAATCAACACAAGACATTAAGCACTACAGTGTGAGTATATCAGTACTTAACTACTGAACTGTACACTTAAAATGGTTAAGAGCATACATTTTATGTTACATGTATTCTATCACAATTAAGCTTTTTTTCATATAAAAACCAAACCAAAAAACTGGTACTTCCTTAAAAAAAAAAAAAAACCCGGCATGAATACTGCCATTTGTAGCCAAGTAATAAGATGACTGGGCTTCCTTGGTAGCTCAGCAATAAAGAATCTGCCTGAAAATCCAGAAGACACAGGTTTCGATCCCTGGGTTGGGAAGATCCCCTGGAGAAGGAAATGGCAACCCATTCCAGTATTCTTGCCTGAAGAATCCAATGGACAGAAGAGCCTGGCAGGCCCCAGTCTGTGGGGTCGCAGAAGAGTCAGACACAACTTAGCAACTAAACAACAGTTAAGATGACCAGTCTGATTCTGTAGCAAGTTCGTGAAGAGGGAGATTCAATAAAGAAACAGAAGCTGGGCTGTGGGAACAGGTACACCCGGTTCTCTCAACCAAGGTTTCTAACTTTGTGGCCCAAGGACTGGCTTCAAGTTTTGGTCCACGAACACCCTGTAATAATTTTTTTTTCCCCTTTAGTAATTTTATTTATTACTTTTGGCTGGGCTGGGTCTTTGTCACTGCTTTTCTCCAGTTGCAAAGCACAGGCTCTAGGGCTCACGGGCTTCTGTAGTCGCAGCTCTAGAGCACAGGCTCAGTAGTCGTGGAGCATGGACTTAGTCACTCCACAGCATGTGGGGTCTTCCTGGATCAGGGATCGAACTTGAGTCTCCTGCGTTGGCAGGCAGATTGTTTACCACTGAGCCACCAGGGAAGTCCCCCTGTAACAAATCTTGAATGTTTGTTAATAAGTGCATTTTGATCTGGAGAGAGGGTACATGGGTTTTTGATTCTCAGAAGAGCTTCTGAAGAAAATCTGAAAACCATTCATGAAGGCAATTGGCAGTGTGGTCTGGGTGGGGACAGGATGGCGACTGAGGCTACATAAGTTGAGCTCACTTCCCTTGAGACTTGCTCTTAACTAAACACCAGATAGTATTATGTAAACAGGTGCCATACCTCTCTTTAGGACTTAACAAAGCTATTGTTAGGTTCTAAGAACTGCTCTCTGGGAAAGCTGGTGACCCCAATTATAGAAACTAGCAGAGGATGAGCAGAGAAGAGAACCCAGTAAAAAAAAAAAAAAAAACAGGAAGTAAAAAGATTCACTATGTTGAAATGCCATAGAAGCCAAAGGAAAAAAAGTCCTGGAGAAGATGAAGGGGTTACCGGCGTCAAGTTTAAGAAGAGGGATTAAGAAAGGAATGAGAAAAAAAAAGATCGCTAAGTTCTATGACATTCTGTTGCACTGTTTCTGTAGTGATACAGAAAAAAAGGTTAAGGGTAAGATATCCAAACTAGAACACTTGGGAGAGCAGAGAGGTGCTGTAATTATGACATGATAATTATGTCAGAGCTTCAGACATAAACCAGGACTGTCTTGGATGAATGGATATACAGTTAGTTCCCAAGTTGAGGAGGAAGTACAACAGCCAGGAAGGCAGCAGATACCATCTGTTAACACAAAGGACTTGGTCCTGAAAAGGAAAATAGGACATAAATCAGAAGAACTAGTCAGGATAAGAAAGGGCTGTGTCAGCTACCTAGTGGGAGGCAGGAGGACGTCGAAGGTTGAAAAGGAGAGGGAAGGAGTGGACAAGAACATCTTGTACCCTCCATCTCGCCGAACATCACAACACACAAAGGGGCAGGCCCTCAAGACACTTCTGTGTGAGTGTTGACTGTGGGGACCATTCTCCAGGAAGCAGCAAAGACTTGAGTAAGCAGGAGTGGAGAGGGGCCCTTCTCCCTTTGAAACGACAACGAAGGAAAAAGGGCTTCCCAGGTGGCACCAGTGGCAAAGAACCTGCCTGCCGATGCAAGTGATGTAAGAGACCTGTGTTCAATCCTTGGGTCGGGAAGATCTCCTGAAGGAGGAAATGGCAACCCACTCCAGTATTCTTGCTTGGAGGATCTTATGGATAGAGGAGCCTGGTGGGCTACAGTCCATGGGGTCACAAAGAAGTCAAACACGACTGAAGCGACTTAGTATGCACAGAAGAAATCACATGACAAGAAATGGCAGGCCGGAGCATTCTATCAGAGACCGAGGTGTCAGAGAATGCTTTTCCAAACTAGCCTTCATGATGGCCTTTTCTTCAAGGAAAGAACAGTAAGAACGTGAGGTCAATTCTTACGAGTTCTTTAAAGCGAACCTGTACGCAGACTGCCAGAACCAGGACAACAGGCAATCCACCCGTAGTGTAAGATATAATTCATTCAATGCCAAGGAGTTATTTTATTTATAATTTCATTGCAGGTATAGCTTGGGTACTAGAGAGAGGTCAGAGGAATACTACATCCAGCTAAGTTTAAACTGGGACAAGAAAACAATGGTTGGTGTCAGGATACGAAGGTGTGACCACACTGATTACATGGCAGGGGAGAGGAAATTCTCTCAGCCAAAGGTCACCAAGAGGCTAAATAACCAAAATGGGATTCATCCACAGGCAATTCTTAAACTACAACTAGGCCACTCATCCAAACTCAGCAGTCCCGCCCGAAGAAGAAGGGGAGGCTTTTTCAGAGTGCAGTAGACATAGACCTGTACAACCCAGCAGCCCGGCAGGGTTGGTGGTTGGTCAGCAGGGAACACTTAGGAGCAGGAAACCTCCAGGCGTGAGTCACATTCTACAGCGCGGAGCTCAGAGTATAAAGAAAATAACCAGATGGACAGCTATTTATTATAAAAGTCAGTTTATTTTCCCTGTGTTTCAAAAGTTTCCCTTTCGGTCAGTAATGAGCAGTTAACCGATTGGAAGTCTGCTTGATTAAATAACATTAAGAAGTTCATAAACACACATTTGAGAGTATAAAGCAAGAGGTTGAAAATTTTCCCCTAACTCCATGTAAATTAGGCAGTCCTCAAAATTGCACGTTTTTCGCCTGCTCACTTTCATAATTTAAAATATATATACAGGATGACCTTAAAATGTTGATAATTAGTACAGAATTCACAGCCTTGAAGATGTATATTCTACAAACATCTAAAGAATAGATACCTAGATATCTCTCAGGCCCTAGTAATCCACTGTGATTCAATGTCACGTACTTAATGCATAGAAGGCCAAAAGGTCTTTCCTTTTTCTCTAATTCTAGTCTTCTGCTGAGGTAACGCAAGGAACCCGGTTATGACAGAGACCGAGCCTCTGAAAATAGGTCTAAGCCGACTGGCTTCCTAGTGGATCCTAAAAAGTTCCCAGAGAACAAGCCTGGGGTTGAGTACTTCGGTTATAAATTACATCCTGGAATGTTCACAACCGAGGTACCTCATGGTCCTTGACAGGAAGACAAAAGACTTCCAGGAGTTGAAGGTAATTCTGAATGAAGATGGAGGAGAACAGCTGACAATCACTGGAAGATATTTCTGCTTCCGGAGCTGATCGACTTCAGAGCAGACACAAAGTCACTGAGTCACGCAGCACGTAGTGTGACTTTCCCACTTAAGAGTTTAACTAAGGGAGTCTCTGTCCAGACAGGCTTACGCTGGACCCAGCTGGAGTGCTGCACCAGGATGTGATGCTTCAGAGATGAGCTGCTCTCTGTAAACTCATGACCGAAGCAAAATGCAACGATCCTTTCTATTTGTGGAGCATGTCGTTGCTACAAAACCAGGCACAACTGCCTCGTGGTCACTCAGCTTTCCAGGCTGGAGAACAAGGGTCCAAGTTCAATAACGCATTTACGGTTAAAGGGATGAACCTCCACAGGCCAACAGAGTTGCTGGCAGATTCACAGGCCATTCGGTACATTCACGGAACAACGGCGATAAATAAAAATCATTAATTCCTGTAGTGTAGAAAAAACCACCCAGCCTTCACTCTGGTTAGCATCTCTGGCGGCTGACAATGCTGAAAGAGGCCTGATAATCAGGTTATGTTGGAGTTCTTAAGACAAACCCAAAATAGGGAGAATTAAAAGAAGTAAGAGTCCTGATGTTCTTTTGTGGGCACCAGTCACTCATTCAATACGCGAGTTTGTCGTCTTTGCATAAGAGAGCATGTTTCCCTCACTATTAATGGTGAAATAAACAGAATTGTGCAACTTGTCTGTGAAGAGAAAAAGAGCATTAAATGTGCAGTGATAATTTAATTCTGTTAGTGCATCATCGTTTGAACATAATAATGAATTTGGACTACATTCTTTTGACTTTGTACAAAAATAACTCTTAATCTTTAATGAAACAAAATGATTTTGAAAATTACAGTTACTGTAACAAAGTACTTAATGTAACATTACAGTCTCCTCAAAAAAAGAACCTAATGAAATAATTTGCTCTAAGTAGAGCAGAGAATTGATACTGGAGCTCAGATTTCAAACAGTATTTCTTCTAATAGATTCAGTTTTCTATGACAATTTCTGGTATGATTAGACCAGCAGGTACATCAGGAGAGATCTCCCTCTGCTTAGGGTGGATATCAGAAGTGGAACACAGAGTTATAAAGCCCAGCCTTTAGGAGCCAGAAACCAGTGAAGCTAACAGAAGCATCCTCTGTGATAGGAGAGAACACGAGCTTTCAGGCCGCTCCAGGAGATTCCAGGTGCTGAGCTGTCTCCAAGGCCCCTGGATGAGGCTGGAGGACAGTGTCTGGGCTTGGGCAATGGAGGCTGCCTCCAACTAGGATGCTCGCAACTGAGGGAGAGTATGCTGAATGCACCCCCTGGTGCACGAAGCTGTCACCAGACTCTCAAGTGGACCATCTCGAGCACTGTGTCTCAATAACGTGGTAAGAACACGTCACGTGCTTATTCAACAGAGAGCAATGTTTTAAAAGCAGAAGGCCTTATTCTGTATTGGCTGTTTCCCTGAAAATATAGAGTTCCAGCCAAGAATATCTAAGGCGCAACAGATATTTTCTCAGGAGACTCAAGGTTCATTTTAGAACTTGCATGCCACAGTTAATTATAGCAATGGTTCTTTTTTAACCCTACGTGGTTTGGCATACACATTCCCTTCAGACTTCCCAAATTGTATTTAGCGACAGAGAGTACCCTGGAAGAAGTACCCTGATTAACAGCTGGGGATGTGAGTCTCTCACCGTTTTTTCTGGAATCATGAATGGCGACACTCATTAGACTCAGGTCAAGGGCAAACGTAACAGCCCTTTCCCTCCTTGAAAAATGAATGTGTCTTTTAGAATAGTAAGATGTTACTTTTCACAAAAGAATCTTTAAAAGCAGTCAGCAATGTTGCTGGTTTAAGAAGTGATTTAACCATAAGAAGAAATGAACTACTGACACATGAAACAACATGGATGAATTGCAAAATAATTATGCTGACTGGAAGAAGCTGACAAAAATACGGAGTGTATAATTCCATGTACATTAAACTCAAGAAATTGCAACTAGTTGACACAGCAACAGAAAAGTGGTCCAGCAGTTACCTGATGGAGAGAGGTGGGATGGTGGAGAGAGGTGGGAGACAGGCATGACCAAGGGGCTGTGGCGAAACTTTTGGGAGTGACGGACACTTCCTGCCCTGATCTGGATAATGGCTTCACAGATGTGTATGGACATACGTTAAATCTTCCTGAATTTTATATCTCAAATACATGCCACTTATTTTAAGCCAATTATTCAACAGCAACAAAAGACTACTTTGCATGTTAAAAAAAAACAAAAAAACAAACAAACCAAAAAAAAACAGTGATTTAAGTAAATGTTTTGAACTTGGAGAAGGAAATGGCAACCCACTCCAGTATTCTTGCCTGGAGAATCCCATGGACAGAGGAGCCTGGCGGGCTACAGTCCATGGGGTCGCAAAGAGTCGGACACAACTGAGTGACTTCACTTCACTTTGAACTAATTTAAAAACTGCTAGCTAAAGGCTTCTCTGGTGGACTAGTGGTTAAGAATTCGCCTGCCAATACAGTGGACACAGGTTCGATCCCTGATCTGGGATCCCACATGCTGCAGAGCAAAAAGGCTGCGTGCCAGAACTACTGAGCTTGTGCTCTGCAACAAGAGAAGCCACTGCAACGAGATGCCCACACATCACCACAAAGAGGAGCTCCTGCTCGCCTCAACTAAAGAAAGCCCGTGCAGCAAAAAAGACCCAGCACAGCCAAAGATAAATAACGAGATAAATATGTAAATCTTGAGGGAGATAAACTACTAGTTTATTTTTTTTTTTACAAAGGGCACATACTTACCATAAGAATGAAAAAGTAGAAAACCCACATCCATCCCAGGTTGTCCTGGATCAAAGACACTAAATACTAAAAGGGAGAAAAAGAAACCACAATATAATCCTTGATAAATTAATAAAATGAAGTAGCTAAGAGCAGATGAAACATGGCTCTTCTAGAAAATGAGAAGGGAGTCAGGGTGTGTATAATGTTTTGCAGTTTGCAGAGCTCCTATATATACGTGCTCCTAGTTAAGCTTTACTGACAAGCTGCCAGCAGGTAAGCTGGCAGAATCCAAATAAAAAATGGGACAGAAGGCCTAAGTCCAAGAGGTCTATATTTTTTTCACTTTGCTATTAAGAGAGAATGATGAACAGCCTCAAACCACTTCTGTTTAACCATCCCTTCTTCCAATGAAAGGTACTGTCACTGATGCTTTTAAAAATAGTTCATCTTTTAAGTATACCACTCATTTTTCAATTACGCTATTTGCTCACAGGATTACTGCACGATTTTGACACTCTACAGCATATTCTTTTATTTTCAATTACTAAAAAGTATCCAATAGCTTTTGATCCATCTTCTTTTTTTAAAATTATGGTAAAATACATGTAACATGCAACTTGCCATTTTAACAATCTTTTGTTGTACATACAACTCACCAGCGCCAAATACATTCATGACTTTGCACAACCATCACCACTACCTATTTTCAAACTTTTTCATCACCCCAAACAGAAACTCTGCACCTATGAACTCTCTGCAAGAACTCTCCATGGCCCGTCTCCTCAGCCCCTGACAAACTCTAATCTGCTTTCTATTTCTATGAATTTGCCCATTCCAGATATTCTGTGTTAAGTAGAATCACCCAATATTTGTCCTTCTGTGCATGGCTGATTTCACTTAGCACAATGTCGTTAAGGTTCATTCATGCTATAGCACACATCAGAACTCCACTCCTTCTATGGCTGAATAATATTCCACTGCATAGATATACCACATTTTGTTTATCTATTCATCTATCCATGGACACTTCAGTTGTTTCCACCTTGTGGCTATTAGGAATAATGCTACAGTGAACAATGGCAAACAAATAACTGAAACTGTCTACAAGTCTTTGGAGTACAGCATACTTAGGAGTGGAACTGCTGGGTCATATGATAATGTTTACCTTTTTGAGGAACCATCATAGCATTTTCGACAACAGCTGTGTGATTTTACATTCCTACCAGCACTGTATGGAATTTCTCCACATCCTCACCTGTACTTACTACTTTGTTCTACTTTGCTTTAATTACAGACATCCTAATTAGGTGTGAAGTGGTAGTTCATGTTTTTCTTTTGCATTTCTCTAACAGACTAAGGATGCTGAGAATCTTTTCAAGGGTTAACTGACCATTGGTACACATCTGTCATAAGGAGCTGTCCCTATGTTTTCCTCTAAGGATTTTATTAGTTTTAGCTCTTCAAGTTAGGTATGTGATCCATTTTGAGTTAATTCTTATACATAGTGTAAGGTAAGGGTCCAAATTCATCATTTTGCAATGTGTACATCCTGCTTTCCCAGCACCTTTTGGTGAAGAAACCACTCTTTCCCCAGTGAGTGGTCTTGGTACCCTTCTCAAAACTCAGCTGACCACCGAAATGATCATTTAATCCATGTTCTTTGATCACATTATTAGTAAAATTGGGAGAAATTAAAGGAGAACAACTGAGTGATTTAGCCTGGACAGCCTCATGGGAAACAAAAAAGCAGAGGTGTAATCACCCATTAGAGGAAGCACAGTGGCCCTCCAAACTCTCTGAATGCTACTTTATCTTTTAAATAGCTTTACTGACATATAATTTACATAATACTAAGCTCATATTACTCAATGGATTTTAGTATACTTACAGAGTTGTGCAACTATCACCATAATCTAATTTTAGACCATCCTCATCACCCCAAGAGAAACCCATTAGGAGTCACTCTCCAGACCCACCCAACCCAAAGCAACCACTAATCTAATTTCTTTCTCTATAGATTTGCCTATTCCGGGTATCTCAAATGAATGAAATCACATAAATAGGTGATCTTTGGTGACTGGCTCCTTTTACTTAGCATAATAGAGTTGAAGTTCTTCCATACTGTAGCATCTATCAAACCTTCATTCCTCTTGAACTGCTAAATAATACTCCATTATATGAATATATCATATTTTACTTATCCATTCATCAGTAGATGGACATAAGGATGTTTCTACTTCTTAGCTATTGTAAATAATCATTTGCTGTGAAATACATTTGTGTAAAAATGTTTATGTGGACATTTGTTCTCATCTCTCTTGGGAAAACACTGCAATTTAACCTACTGAGCCCCTGTTGTGGGTCAAAAACATATTAAGCATTGGGAAAGCAAAGAGGAAGGACACAGCACGGTTCTATCCTCAAGGAAGGCAGAGTCTGACACAGGGGATCAACCAACCAGTCAGTGTGAAACACTGTGGCAACTGCCCCACTACAGGTGTGCACCAACTGCTGTGGAAACCAGGGGGAGAGAGCAGTGTTTTTCTTGGGAAGTCAAGGGGAGGTTGGGAGAACAAAGCTATTCAATGTGACTTAGGCGAGTGCTAGGGACCAAGTTTATAGAATTTTTGTTTTTGTTTTGGCCACACTGTGCGGCATGTGGGATCTTAGTTCTCTGACCAGGTACTGAACCTGCGCCCCCTGCAGTGGAAGCGAGGAGTCTTAACCACTGGACCACCAGGGGTAGTCCGAAGTTTTTAATATTAAGTTATGAAGTTTGGGGTTTTATACCTCAAACAGTAGGAAATCATTCAAAAATCAACATGCCAGGGGAATGAGTAAAGCGAACAATGATTTACTCCTGATTCTGCTTCTAAAACCATGAAAGTCAGTCTAATGCTGACCCCGCCCCCCCCCCCCAAGTTCCTAGTTAGGGATCTTAAGACTGGCAGGCATTCTAATTAAAAAAAAATTCCTTGAAATGCAAATTACAATCCATCCATCTGATTAATGAAGAAAACATTAGCTAAGAAGGAAAATCTAAAATACAGTCATTTCAGAAAAGGATGCCCAATACCCTTTATATGAAGACATCTGACCAGGTGGCCAATAGCATTTTTTAGTTCCTACTCCAGAGCATGGCAAGAAAACAAAGTTCTCTTACCATTGCTAAGTTTTCTTTTTTCCCTTTAGTTTCATAATCAAATAAGCTAACACCCTGATCCTATAAACCATTCTTGCTACAACCATTCAACAAGTACCTAAACGTCTCACATGTGCCAGGCACCCTTCCTAGGACTGGGATGACAGCAAAACACAAAACAAAACACTGCCCTCATGAAGCTCATCTTACAGTGGGAGAGACAGACGTGAACAAATAAACATGCACCGCATGACCAGGGAGAGATGTGCGTTAAGGTGGTGTATCTCCTGCAATGGGTTTCCCAGGTGGCTCAAAGGTAAAGAATCCACCTGCCAGTGCAAGAGATGTGGGTTCGATCCCTGGGTTGGGAAGATCCCCTGGAGAAGGAAATGGCAACCCGCTCCAGTATTTTTGTCTGGGAAATCCATGGACAGAGGAGCCTGATGGGTCCACGAGGTCGCAAAAGAGCCAGACACGACTGAGCAACTAAATAACAACAATCTCCAGCGACATCTGCTCTCGTATTAACCACTCACGATCAGATACCAGTGATCCACCCCCATTAAGCGAGCAAAGCATCAGTCTTCAAGGCCATCTAATGACCTCAGTGTCAAAACTACAAGCCTTTTCCCTTCCATTCTCTTTCTCCTGACCTCTCTTCATTTATGATCTGAGTAACACCCCCACCCCTCTAATTCTGGCTTCCTGTTTCTGTGACCACTGAGCATCCTCTGAGGTTTTGCCCATATTTTCTTTCCCCATTAAACATGACGTCACTGTCAAAGTTTCAAATATTTTATCCATGCAGTTGATTCTCAAATCTATATTTTACAAAATAAGCACTCAACGACTGAGAGTGGTATAGCCCAGGAGAGACACATACTCATGACTGTCCCAGAGAAACAATGCCTTTCTTAAGCTGAATGTAAGCAGGACAGATCAATCTGAATGGTTCTGACAAGGACTTCCCTGGTGGTCCCGTGGCTAAGACTCCACGCTTCCAATGTAGGGAGTGCAGGTTCGATGCCCAGTTGGGGAAATAAGATCCCACACACTGTGCAGCGCGGCCAAAAAAAGAGAGACAACAGTTCTGACTACCTACAGTAGGCCACTCTTAGCCTAGAAGATCTCAGACTTTATAGAGTGCACAGGACTCGCCAGGATGGCTTATTGAAATACAGATCCCCAGGCCCTCACTCAGCAAATCCACAGTAAGCTAAGTGTTCTGTACTTTAATGAACTCCCAGATTGATTCTGATGTAAGACATTTATGAACTGTCTTTTGAAACACAGTTATAGGAAGCAGAGAAAGCATCTCAGGGCAGCTGCAGGGTCCATGGCAACTTCTGGCGGGGATCTGTGGCAAGAATGTGTGTTTGGTGGGTGAGAGAGCTGGGGCCTGTGTGTCAAGTGTCGGGTAATGAGAAGCATGTGTCTCCTGGCCTCCCTGAAGTGCCAAGTTCAGGCTGGAAGACGGGGCGGTGGGCAGAGGGACTGAAGGATCTGTCTTACAAAGTGTTCGCTTCTTTCTAGACAGGAAGAATCTGGAGGTAAAAGTGGAAAGGAGGAACTGATAAATGTAGAGGGGCCTTCCATGTTAGGTCACTAAGAACCCAAGGCTTTTAGTGCAGTGCACTACAGAACAAGAGCGCCACCTGCCGGGGCCCTGCAGGCGGGGGCAGACCCTCCCACCGCTAAACACTCCCTGTCCAGCCCTCCCTGCCCTTTCACCTGGCCCACTGCAGCTCCAATGCTCCCGGTTCCATCAACGATCCCAGTGACGGTCGCCAAAGCCTCACTGCTCCCTTGGATCAGCTCCTGACGACCCAGGTCCGCAGAAATAGCAGAGCTTATCATATTAGAAGGTCCACCAATAAAGAATCCTAAAGTCAGAAACAGAACGGGTTCTTATTAAGACACTACACATAACAACATGTTAGGAATCTATTGAGAATTATGTAACTCTAATCCCAATATTCTAACTGGTATGTTGGAGAGAAATGGAAAAAAGGGGGGAAAATTACCTGTAAAAATGGAAACTCCCCCAGATATAACATCTTAGTTAGCACCCACTTTCCTCTAGAAAACAGAGTGAACACAGACCTTTCTAATCCGGTGAAGTGTGCATTCACTGACAACTGCACTAGTTTATCAAATTCTATTATGGCAGAGATGACTCAGAGCATCTGAATGCCCAAATTCAACCAAACATTGAGAAAGATAGAGAAGAGAAAAAGTGATTTAAACGGTGCAAGGGGTTCCATCTGCCACTGTTCTCAGTGAGGCTGCCACAGGACTGAGCGCAGACAGGGCCAAGAGTCTCACAGAGCGGCAGCAGCTCCAGAGATCCCACGAGCTCAAATTTAAGAACAGGAGTTTTTCCATAACATGGGCCCGAATGGCACCCAATTGATTCATCTGGGATTCAAGGGAAGAAATACTGACCAATTCCAAATAGGAGGAAAAACCAGCTATACTGGACTTTATGAAAGTTGGTGAACTGGTTTCCAACGGGGCCTTCTTCCTACACCACTTCCGGGAGTGATATGAGCGGATGTGGGCCGCAATCAAAAATCAGAGGAAATCTCTAAAGGACTGCTTCTGCCACACCAGGACTGAGGCAGTATCATGAGAGCAGAGAAGCAGGATCTAGGGGAGGCATCTTTCCTTTTACCACCTGAGTCTTCTATAATTAAGGCTTTAGAATAACTCAGCTTGAAGGAGCAAGCAGTTTCCTTTTTCCCTTTTTATTTGCAGAGGAACAAGACAGTGAAATGGAGCCTGTGCCATACCTGTGACAGCCATCAGAAGCGCATTGATGGACTTGTCGTTTGGAGAACCTGCGAGGAGAGACACAGACAGGGGGTGATGACGTGAGGAGCGCAGTACGTGTGTCTCCACCCAACAGGACACACAGGCCTGGATTCTGTGACCTCACAGATCACGCCCAGAGAGAGCAAGCGGACACGGCTCCATCACCGCCGCTCCTGACTTTTACTTGTAATGTCTGCCTCTGGCTGCTGCTCAAGCTACTGTGACTTCTAAAAGCTACAGGCAAACTCCTATCTCAGCAGCATCTTAAGGGACATATACCAAACCTACTAATTACCATCTTTCCTGTTTTGAAATCTTGTCCCTTTTATTGTTTTATTGGCTCTAATGCTGCATGGCTGGAGCCTACCCTTGGACAAAGCAGATACACTCCCAAGCAAGCTTTTAAACAAACCAACAAAGCACAAGAGATGCCAGTTTCCTCCCCAACGCAAATAAACCTACGTAATGATACTTCTACCGCTGTTCACAGGACAATACAAAGATCCCATTTATGCCCTGGTGGCTGGTCTCAACCACCTCCCCAGGGCTGATCACTGACTCAAGGCAAGTAAATGCCTTAGTCCTAAGAGATGAGGCAAACAGCTTAACTGCAAGGAGATACTCACGACTGTATCCAACCAGGGACCCGATGGCCAGAAGCAGACTGAGAGCTAACACCGGCGCTCTCCTCTGTAACATGTCAGAGATGAAGCCTTGCAGCGTTCCACCTTCAAGCACAAAGAAGTGCAACCCAATCAACATCTCAAAATTAGCTTAGTTACCTGACTCTTGCTTACCACGTACCCTCCACCCGCCGGCAGGATCCTAACACTGGTCTATCCAACAAGAGAGCTGACTCTCCTAGAAAAATCTCCTCCATAATTTCCTTTTAAAGAAAGATCATCTGTCAACTCACACGATGGCAGATGGGGACAGACACCACCAGTCAGACACCCAAATCAGGAAAAATCATCAGACCCACACTCACTGTTCCTTGCTATTTTTCCTTCTCCAATCAGCTGTGAAGGCTTTTCTTGCCTTTTTCCCCCCCTGCTTTTTATTTGAAAGATAATTAATTAGACTCTGTGTCACAGGTTATAGTAGTAGTGAACATAAATATTCACTAAAATTAAATGCAGCAATTATGGTTTGGCAAAAACCAAGTCAAGATGTTTAAAAAAAAAAATTTATGTGGGGGACTTCCCTGGGGGTCCAGTGGCTAAGACTCTGCACTCCCAATGCATGTGGCCTGAATTCAATCCCTGGTCAGGGAACCAGATCCCACATGCCGCAACTGAAGAGTCTGCATGTGGCAGCTAAAGAGCCGGAATATCACAATGAAGATTGAAGATCTTGGGTGCTGCAACTAAGATCCAGCACAGCCAAATAAATAAATATACAGTTTAAAAAAAAAAAAAGAAGAGGTGATGTGGATCCTTGAAGCAACACAGTCACATTCAGATTCAGTCCTGTTTAGAATCTCAGGGCATTGGGACATCTGATACACCCTCATCAGAAGTCTGTTCAGGACACAGAAGTATGTGCAAGTCTAAAGGCAGCATCCTCTCCTTTGGCTCTGAGTCCAAGAATGAGGGCACACAAGTTCAAACACAATAACAGCTTATCACCTAAGGATACACTTTGTTTTCATGTGCTCAGAGCAGTTGAGTCTGTCCACAGGTCTAAATGTAAAGGACGGCGACCAAGGTTCTGCCACAGTCATGCAGGTGGTACCCACTACCAGGCATTCTGTATATCCATCTAGTTTTGAAGATTCCTACTTCCCTGTTTGGGCTTCCCTGGTGGCTCAGTGGTACAGAACCTGCCTGCCAATGCAGGACACGTGGGTGCAATCCCTGGTCCAGAAAGATTTCCTGGAGAAGGAAATGGCAACCCACTCCAGTATTCTTTAGGAGAATCCTAAGACAGAGGAGCCTGGCGGGTTACGGTCCATGGGGTCACAAAGGGTCAGACACAACTGAGCAACTGAACAACAACTCCCTCGCTTGCACTTCCAGCTGTAGCAAAAAGTCACTATTAAAATCTGCTGCGGGGCTTCCCTCAGGACTCAGCGGTGAAGAGTCTGCCTGCCAATTCAGGAGACACAGGTTTGCTCCCTGACCTAAGAGGACCCACATGCCGTGGAACAGCTAAGTCCACGCGCCACAACTACTGAGCCTGGGCTCTACGACCCGGAAGCTGCGACCACTGAAGCCCACGTGCCCGAGGGCCGGCGCTCCGCAGCAAGAGAAGCCACAGCAAGGAGAAGTCTGTGTACCACACCTCGAGAGTAGCCCCTGTTCTCTACAACCAGAGGGAAGAAAAAAAAAAACCCTGGGCAGCAACGAAGACCCAGCACAGCCAAAAGTAATAAATAAATAAAATCAACTTTAAAAGAATGGGACACACAAGTTCAAACACAATAACAGCACACCACCTAAGGGTACACTGTGCTTCCATATGCTCAGGGCAGTTTAGTCTGTCCACATGTCTAGATGTAAACATTAACACAAAGGTTACCAAGGTTCTGCCACAGCCATGCAGGTGGTACCCACAGACATGCATGCTGTATGTCTGTCTGATTTTAAAGTTTCCCACTTCCTCGTTTACGCTTCCAGCTATAGCAAAACGAGACTACTGAAGTCTATTGTGTACAAGGAAGCAACTGCGAAACAAAATAATCCCTGCTGTTATTCCTACCTTTATAATTTGACAGTCAATACACTAAGCTAGTATGTTTCCCTTCTTCGGCTGTGGGTGATAGGTAAAATGAACATAACTCGGATCTCTGACATACAATTAGCTTTAGAGCTAAGCAATCCCTGGGAGTGTACAAAAGGCTCACACTTAAAGAGATCAGAGAGAGCAACATCCCGGTGTGTCCCAGGACAAAAGAACTGATCCAGCAACAAAGGGCTGAGAAAAAAGAGCTCTATACATCACAGGGCTGCCACAGGCTGGGTCTTCTTTTCTATGGGCTTTTTTTTTTTTTTAAAGAGTTTGGCTATTTACCAGTAGGACAATTTAAGAAAAATGGCTGTGGAATAAGTGATAAAACTTTAAATGATGCCAGATTTCATAACCCAATAAAATCTGACTAGTGACTCACTCTTGCTAGAGGAAAAGATGCTTCATTGGCCATACCTATAATTCCTCCGACGTCGTACCAGATGGACAGCTGGTCAGCCTCGGCCTCCTTCCATCCAAAGTTGTTACTCAGATAAAAGGGCAACCAGAAGAAGAAGGAGTAATTCACTAACTTCAAGCATGCGTAGGCCAGTGAATACTACAAGGAAAACACCCCACTGTCAGTAAGGAAAGAACAGCACAGCGTAACTACTGTTCTAATGCAATTAACAGCAAAACAAAACGAAGAGTTGGGGGCGAACAGTGCCTGATTTTAAACTTAAATGTTCCTATAAATCCCCACTGCCTGCGTGTCCTGGTCCTCCTCTTCTCTTCCCCCACTTAGTGTCTAGAGAGGCAGTACAATAAGCCTTGGGATTAAAAACACAGAGGACTACTCCCTAATTGTCTCCACTGTCTTCTCCTTTTGGCTCTCTGGTAGAAGCAAACCAGTGTTTTGAACCATAAGGCAGGGCATGGACTCACATTTCTTTATTTAGATGAAGATAAAAGGTATTCATGCCACCTAGGAACACTAATCATAAGCAAACGAATCCAGTAAACATCACAGCTTTTATTGCAAGCAGCCAGACCTTTCAGGTTCTACTTGCTTCAAAGTTAATATGATGACCAATGCAAAACAACGTGACTGGACTCTAGTTCCAAAGGTCTAAGAAAAGCATCAGCATGAAAACTACTTTCATAGGTTAGTTTCTGGAAGCTCTGAGTCAAAAATGAAAGCACAGGATCGTCACGGGCCTTGTGGCTCTAGGTTGAGGAGTAAGTGAGAGCTGCCTTAACATGGCAGTGGGGCTGAGAAGCCTATATTCAACACATTATTACCAGGAAATCCTGACATTCAGCATCAAAGGAAGAAGGGGGAGGAACAGAGAGACACTTCAAAGGGTGTCTGGCTAGTATATTCTCTTCCCTGGAGCTGCCACTTATTCCCTAGGTATCACTTGTTTTAAAGGGGCTTTCCTGGCAGGACAGCTGCCCCCTAGAGAGCCAAATCTCAACCATTTTGTCCAGACAGCCGGCCACAAAGACAAAGGGATTAAGTTCACTGAATTTACTTTATACCCTGCCCATGGCGGGGAACAATAGCTTGTGAAATACAAAGGGATAGAAAGAGAGCGCCGCGTTTAGTCACAACAAATCTAAGTCCTGCCTTAGAAATTAAACTCTTACCAGCAGAATATTTTAATAACTACTGTAAAAAAAATAACTCATCATTAGCATAAGAAAAAGCCCCTGGGGAACATGCATTTCCCTGTATGACACATCATCTTTTGGTTGAAGAACGGTGGGAACTTACACTTCCATTTGAACTCACGCTTAAACTTTATCTGTTGGCAAGTATCAGTTCTCTTAGCTTGGCACAGGGAGAAGGGAGCAGGTAAGTATGAAATAGGACAACCAGCAGACTCTGAATCTAGTTGAGAGGTTGTATTCATAAAGCACCATTAAACAATACAATTAAAAAGGTGTTTACTCATAATAACTCGACACTGCAGACTTAGGGAGGATGGACTGGCAGGCCTTCTATCCACAGGAAGGGGAACTAAGACACAAGGAAGAGCTGAGTAACGCCACAGGCCTCACAGTGGGTAAGCGGGCAACATAACCGAGGCCTCTTAACTTCCACTCATGCGCTGGAGGCCCGAAACACCAAGACAGAAAAACTGTGGCAGAATGGACTCAGTTTAGACGTTAGGTAAAAAACCTGACTCTGTGGAAGTTATGGAAACACTGGAATGCACTACCAAGGGGTACGGTGGAGCATCCTGCTCTGGCCTTTTACAGAAGGGCAAACTATTTTTTTCCTTAGAATGGCAAGAATACAGGCAAAGAAGACAGACTTAACAAACCACTCAAACCCCTCTTGATCTACTTATAATTCTATAAGACTTCAACAGGCCAAAAGGTATATATTCAAAAATACCCATTTTTGCCTTCTTACTCAAATTCTAGTATCAGGGTCAGCAAACGGGGGCTCACGGGCCACTTCCAGTCAGGTCTGCTGGTTCCATATTGGCTGTGGAGTCCTCTGGTCTACCAGGCTGAGTGGCTGTGGCAGAGACAGTACGGGGCCCCAGAGCTGAAAACATTTACATCTAGCTCTGCACAGAAAAGGTGCCAACCCCCACACTGGGTATCAGATACAACTTCAAGTGGTGTCAATACAGAAACAGGCTGAGGGCCACTGTCCGCGATTCCCCTGGACATATATTCCTGAAATAGTCTCAAAGAGAGGCTAACAGCTTCAAGGTGCCTTATCCCCGACAGTGCTACTATCCAGGCTACGGTATCGCCCAAGTTTCGGTGGGGAGATCTGAACAGTCCTTACCGCTATAACTCCAGGAAGGCAACAAGCCTGGAAGAAGCTTATTGCCTTCACTTGGGTCACAGTATTGCCTTCTTGGATTGAATAATTAGGCTCAGCTTCATCTTCGTTTTCAGCACCATTAATTAACGGCCTGTGCGAGTCTTCTTCAAAATTTTCTTCTGTCTCGATACCTGGGATACCTACAACAGCGACAGCCACAGTGAGAGGGTGCCCTCCAGGTGCCCGGCGCTGTGCTAAGTGCTTTACATGTACCATTACTTATGCGGTCCACACTATTTTTATTTGCATTTTACAGAAAAAGTTACTAAGGTTCGGAGTCCAAGGTCAATTAAGGTCACACAGCTAATGAGCAACAAACCCAGGACTCAAATTCTCCTTTATCCGGCTTCAAAGTAATATTTTTTCAACTACATCACGCTATCTCTCTTACATACAGAAACTCGTTAATTACGTTACTATTAAACTGACGTGTCTCTTCAGTAAAACTCAAAAGATAGAAGAATCATACATCTATCTGCTTCTGTGATTTCACTTGTACGTTCTGCCTGTACGATCTGTATTTAACCACAGATAAGTATTTCACTGAATTATTCTTCTGAAGAAAAAAAGATCTGTCTCAAGAAGCAAAATTCGAAATCCATCCATGCTAATTTCAAGCCAATGTGTCCATTATAAAACCTCATTTGCAAATGATGAGTTTTCCCTGAATCTATAAAAAGGTGAGCCTCACACCCTCAAACATTTGCAGCTGTGCCAGGCGAGGCTGTGGCGTCGACAGGACACAAAACAGCAAGACTGCTCTTTTAACTCACTGAAAGGAGCTCACAGTTCTCCTAGAGAGAAAGATCCGGGCTGTTCCAGCCTCGGGTTTCTCTTTGCCCATGTTAGCAAGATGATCTGAGTAGAAAAGCAGCTTCTCTCACCGATTTCTTCCGGTGACACCAGGAGTCCAAAGAAGATGACGATCCCACCAGCAAACTGCACGGCCGCCGTCACCAGGAAGGCATACTGTGGGGTGGGAAGGGGAAAGGGACTCCTGACACATCTGGGATGCTCGTTAACCACACAGTCGTTAGAGACACATGTGGGAGGACGGGGCGACTGGGAAGGAAATGAGCACCGGGCGCCTGGCCTGTGCCAGGCACTGAGCTAAGTGTTTTACTTGTTTTCTCACAAGTTTTTCCCAGGGACTCTGTGGAGCTCAGAGAGGATAATTAAGGTCTCCTGGACACTGCGTGGTACTATTACAATTGGGAAGTCAGAATTAGCTCCAAAAGTAGCGTTCTTGCCACCACTCAGCCTCACGCGACAGACAGTATCTGCTCTCAAAGACAGTTTCCAGTTGAGGGGGGTTAGACACTACCCACAACATTAATAATAGGAACTTCCCTGGTGGTCCAGCAGTTAAGAACCGGCCTTGCAATGCAGAGGATGTGGGTTCGATCCCTGGTTGGGTAAATAACATCCCACATGTCGTGAAGCAAGTAAGCCGGTGCAACTACGAAGACTCTGAGTGCTGCAACCAAGACCTCACACAGCCAAAAACTAAATCAAGATAAATTTTAAAAAGAGACACCACACATTAATATAGGCAGCATGGAGCTGGATAAATGAGAAGACTGAGTCCCCATAGGAAACATACAGAGGAATTGAATTTGGAAGAAAAAAGCCAAGGAGGTTTTGAAGGAGGGAGACAGTGCTTTAGGGAAGAGCTGAAAATCCTGGCAAGTGACCACCTTTCCCAGCACGACTGAAGCCCTGGCACCGAGCGGGCGGGAGACGGGAAGCCTTCTGCACGGGGGGAGCTGAGAGCTGTGCTGGGGGTCACAGGGAAGAACAGTGTCCTTCCGACGGTCCAGGTGAGACACCTGAGAGCCAGGAGGCATCAGTGAATTTTATTTAAGACAGAATGGAGCCTGAGGTGTCAATGAGTGTTTCCAGAATTCAAATCTGGGAGCAGCCAATGGGGTGACCTGAAATTCCCATTTGAGCCAATTAGTACAATCCAGGTGTGAAGCTAAGAAACCTGGGAAAAGGTGACTATGAACACAGGAAGGACTTCCCACTGGCCCTAACTAGACCAAAACTCCTCAAGGACCAAACACTTGGCAAGCTGTTTAAAAACTGTTACCTACTTTCTAAAAGAGCAACTTACTTTCAGTTATTAGGTTTGGGGTTTGGTTTTGTTTTCGCTGCACTGCATGGCTTGAGGGATCTTAGTTCCCCGACCAAGGACTGAACCCACATCCTCAGCAATGAAAGTTTGGAGTCCTAACCACTGGACTACCAGGGAATTCCCAATTATTAGGTTTCTGAACAGGCAATCCGTTGACATGAGCCATTCGATTTTTATTTGTCGAACATATAAGCACTGTTATTTAGCTTGTACTTTCCAAAGTTTGTTTTGGAAACATACAAGCCAATACAATAGATACTCTTTAACTCTTCCTCAATTTCACATAAATGGCAATATTCAACACACAGTTATCTTCACTTAACACATCACTGAGCTCTATCCCAATCTGGACACGCAGGGCTGCCTAATTCTACTTCACAGCTGCACAGATTCCACTGAACAGGTGTTTCATGGTTTAACTATTTCCCATTTGGTTGACATATGTTACCAATCTTTTGCTATTACAAACAATGCTGAAGTAAATAACCTTGCAGATGTACTCTTTGTATATAATGAAGTATACTCAGTCAGATTAATTCACAGAGGTCAAACTGCTAAGTCAGAGCCATTATAATTCTGATGTGTCAGTCGCTCAGTCATGTCTGACTCTTCACAACCCCATGGACTATAGCCCACCAGGCTCCTCTGTTCATGGGATTCTCCAGGCAAGAATATGGAAGTGGGTTGCCATTCTCTTCTCCAGGATATCTTCCCGACCCAGGGATCAAACCCAGGTCTCCCGCATTGCGGGCAGATTCTTTACCATCTGAGCCACCAGGGAAGCCCTGTTAAGTGACTGGGCTTTTGACAGACATTCCTATATTGAGCCCAAGAAAAGTTTTTTACTCTCCCACCCGGCAATGCCTGCTCTGTCACCTCCTAATGAACATGGTATCAAACTTCTGGAATTTTACCAATCTAATAAGGATAAGGTATAGGTTTTCTCTGTTTTTTTTAACAGTGTAGTTTTAATTTGCATTTCTTTACCACTTAATAGCTAAACTCCTATAAGGGCAGAGAGTTTTGGCTCTTTGGGTCAAGGCTCCATCCTCTACTGCCTTGGGGCATTTAAGAGGAACTTAAGAATATTACTGAATGAATAAACAAGTTCTGAGTGAAGTGGAATATCCTGTCATGTGTTTACAAGCCATTTCTCTTTCCTTTTCATGAACTACACATTCAAATCCTTTACCTTTCTTTCCATGCGTTGTTAGTCTTTTTCTTTATCAATTTGTGGGCAACTCTTTATATATTAAGATTAGCTCTTTATCTGTAACATGAGTGGCAAGTACTTTTCTCCAAATGATTATGTCTTTAGACTCAGGTGTTTTTCCATGACTAATTTTTTTTAATGTGTTTTAATTTACCATAAGCTTGCCCACTCTTAATACAAATCTTGCTCCTCCCAGACACAGCACTAGGTCATTTTAAATGGTCACAGGATCACTTCCTAAAAATAAAACATATATTTATATACTGAAGAAAAAGCTAGGAAAAAAAACACCTACCTCATAACCATACTGAAGAACAGATGAAGCGAGACATGCGCCCAAAATATTGCCCACTGAGGCACAGGCACTCCAGAGACCAAAGACAACCCCTCGCCTAAGATGGGAACAGAGCAGAACGGAAGACAACACAATCAGAATGGGTTCCGTGTGCAGCTCAAGTACAAAATGGCCAAACAGTGCAGGTTCACATTACATAGAATCAATGTTCCATTCCAGTGTGGTTTTTTTTTTAAGTACACCCAAATGGCAAAACACTTAACAGGGTAGCTCTCTTCTTCTAAGACTTTATTATACTAAAGTTCAATTTGGAGCTCACTGAAAGACACTATTAAGAGAATTTAAAAATACAAGCCCCATGGATTGGGAGAAACTATCTGGATACCACTTATCTGACAAAAGACTTGCTGCTGGGATATAAAGAAATCTCAGAACTCAATACTGTGAAAAATAAGCAATGCAATAAAATTCTAAGGAGTGTTAAATCTATAATCATCTCAAATACAAAGTTTCTGAAAAGGGGGCAAAGATTTTAATAAACGCTTTAAACACACACACACACACTTAAAATAAGATACAAATAAGCACATGAATGGAGAAGGAAATGCTAACCCACTCCAGTATTCTTGCCTGGAAAATTCCACGGATAGAGGAGCCTGGCGGGCTGCAGTCCATGGGGTCACAAGAGTCAGAGACACCACTTAGCGACTAAACCCACCACCAAGCACATGAAAAGATGCTCAGCATCATCAAACTCAGGGAGATGCAAATTAAAATCACAACAAGGTATCACTACGCACCTAACAGAAGAGCAAAGTCAAAACACACTCAGCATACCAAGCGTCGGCAAGGGTGCCCAGCACCTAGGACCCGCACACTGCTGGTAGGACATAAAGCGGGGCAACCACTTTAGGAGAAACTGCCAGTTTCTTAAAAGGATAAACATGCTCCGACCATAAGATCCAGCCATTCTACTCCAAGGTATTTATCCAAGGGAACAAAAGCATGTGTCCATACAAGGATCTGTGAACAAATAAGCATAGTGGTTTCAACAGTAAAAGCCAAAAACTAAAAACGTAGACGTTCACCAACAGCTGAACAGATAAACTGTGATACAATGGATGACTCCTTAGTCATAAAAAGGAATGAACTACTGATGCAGACATGGATGAATTTCAACATTACTGTGCCGAATGGAAGAAGAGAGACAAGAAAACATAACTGCAGGGACTTTCTGGGTGGTCCGGAGGTTAAAACTGCGAGCTCCCAATGCAGGGGGTACCAGTTTGATCTCTGGTTGGGGAACTAAGATCCCCCATGCTGCAAGGTACAGCCCCCAAAAAATCAAAAACAAAAACGGAGAGGGAGACAACACTGTACAGTGAAAAAGCGTGTTCAGAAGCCACTTCCAGCTGTGCAGAGTGATGGCCACCAGCTCACGGCCCGGGCTCAATGCTCTCATCTGGAAAGTGCTGAGCTCCTCAAAGGCCTGGGTGCAGTGGCAGAATTGACATTTGGGGCCTACAAAGGTGTATCTACTAGTACTACCAGCCTCAATGTGTTCTAAAAAACTATGATCCCAGGACTTCCCTGGCAGTCCAGCGTTTAAGACTCCGAGCTCACAATACAGGGGATACGGGTTTGACCCCTGACTGGGGAACTGAGATCCTGCATGCTATATGGCGAGACATAAAAAAAAACAATGACCCCTGACAATGGGAGGAGAGATGTGACTCACGCAAGGGAACAGCTTTTCAGGGCAATGTCTTCAGTAGATCATTTAACTTTTTTCACTTGGAAACCAAATGATTTGAACTAGACAATCTCTATTTTTACCAGTACGATAATGCCCCAAGCCTTTAAAACACAAAACCTACCAAGAGGATCCTCGAGGGAGAGCAAAGGGCAGGGTCTGAAGAACATGCTGATCAAAGACATGATTTGGGAAGGAACTGGTTGAAAAAAATTGTGACTCTAAGTTGTCACAGTTTTACTGGTACTTTGTGGTTTACTGCTACATTTCACAGGAAGAGTCACTCTGTGTGAAGTGCAGCATCATCGATTTCACTTACTAGTTGTTGTTCGCTTAAAAACAGACTGTCTCACTTTCAAAAGTAAACTGCAATGGCTTTCTTGAATGTGCTGTTTGTCTTTGTGACTGAAACAGAGAAATAACAAAGAGTTAAGACTGTCCAGTCACTGCTACCAAACACCCAGTGTCATCCAATTTGGAAAAGCTCAGATAAGGTTTATCTCAGAATGATACATGTCAAAGTGATTATCTTGAAATAACAAGATTTCAAGTGGTTTTTGCCTTTATTTCTCTTTGTTCATTTGTAATAGCTGGCTTCACAACAATAATCAAGTAGCCTTGGTATAATTTTTAAAAATCATGAATGGAAAGACATTACCTTAAATATTTTAATGAAAATAAACAGCACACAAACAGCATCACCTACTCCAAAAGAAAACTAAAGTATAAGAGGGGAGGGACTTCCCTAGTGGTCCAGGGGTTAAGAATCCACCTTGTAATATAGATGATGTGGGTTCGATACATGTTTGGGGAACTAAGATCCCACATGCCACAGAGCAACTAAGCCCGTGTACCTCAACTACTGAAGCCCACGCCCTCTGGAGCCCACACACCACAACTAGGCAGTTCCTGAACTGAAAGGAAAGATCCCACAGGACGTGACAAAGATCCACGTGCTGCAACTAAGACCTGGTGTAGCTAATAAACAAATAAATTTTTTGAAGTATCACTGGGGAATGAGTACCTCTGAAAATCAACTCTATTAAACCAGTGACAGTGGAGCTGGAAAGAAACAGAAACCACTAGGGCAGGCTCCCCTAGTGGTATGGTGGGGGAGAATGCACCCGCCAGCGCAGGGCGCACGGGTTTAACCCTGGTCCAGGAAGATGCCACACGCCGAGAAGCAAGTAAGCCCATGCGCCATAACTAATGAGCCCGCACTCCAGAGCCGGAGAGCCGCAACTACTGAAGCCTGTGCACCGACAGCCTGTGCTCTGCAACCACAGAAGCCGCAATGAGCAGCCCATGCACTGCAACTAGAGAAAGCCCACGGACAGCAACAAGGACCCAACGAACACAAAAATAAATAACAGTATTTAAACAAACAAAAAAAGAAATCACTAGCATACTGAACATAAACATTATTTCACAACAAATACAGATCATTATCAAGCAAGCACCATTACTCCCATTAGGAAACTGGGGAAGCTAGAAAACCGAGAGGAGCTGCCTAAAGCATGCACTGATCGCCACGGCGGGTGGGGAGTATCTGCTGGGTGCACTGGCCCCTATGTCAGAGAGTAGACAAAAAAGACAGAGCTATCAATAAAATAAACGTGCGTTTCACAAGACATGAATATTTATCCAGGACAAAAACTAGAAATCCAAATTAACAGTCCCTGAAGGCAGAGAGTCATAAATGATGATAAACCACAAAGGGAGAGTGTCACGAATGGTAATAAGAATCAAAGCCAAGTCTCTGGGTATCTCTGCGATTTTCCATCTGTAGGTAAGTATGGGTCTTCCTGAGTGGCCCCGAAGATCTGTCAGCAGGAGCCCCTCCGTATGCCATGGCTCCCATCACACACACCAACTCACATACAACTGATAAATAACAGAAGGTATGGGGGGGAATGGCCAATTTAACTAAGGCCCGAAGTCTGGCATTCTTCATCTGCATCTTCTTAAAGCCTTGCTCTGTGACTCTAGGCAAGTCCCAAGGACAACTTCTCAGCTCAGTTTCCTTATCTTTCATTTTAGAAGGTCAAACTAGATCACTGAGTCTCAAAAACAGGGAAGGCAAAACACACAGGAAGATACATGATGAGATGGCATGCAAGGTGTCTAGTATTATGATGTGTTATTTATGTTCTCTAAGGGAAGATTAAAAAAATAATAATTTGAGATGTATTGCCTCAGCCACACTCAAAGTCTGACTGTGGTCAGAACAGTGCTGTGAACGTGTCTCACGAGCTAGACTTTCTCTATAGAGTTCACACCATCTCCCAATGTCCTTTGACATGAAACCTCCTCTCTCTGCTATTCTAAACTTCCTCAAATAGAGGGAAGACATGGGTGGTGTTGAAAAGATCAAGTGATGGACAGCTGGACACAGAGGGGTAAGGGGAGGAGGGTGGGACGAACTGGGAGGACAGCACAGACGCACACACACTACCACGTATAAAGCAGACAGCTAGTGGGAGCTCGGCTCGGTGCTCTGTGATGACCTGGAGCGGCAGGGTGGGCGGTGGGTGGGAAGGAGGTGCAAGAGGCAGGGGATATGCATACACATACAGCTGACTCACGTCACTGTAAAGCAATTATACTCCAGGAATAAAACTATAAAATTAAAAAAAAAAAAGGGATAGAGAGAATTGACTTTGACAAATCTGAACAATCAGATATTAAAACTACTATCAAACAGGGAAATGGCTCAACATCACTCATTATCAGAGAAATGCAAATCAAAACCACAATGAGGTACCGTTACACACCAGTCAGGATGGCTGCTATCCAAAAGTCTACAAGCAATAAATGCTGGAGAGGGTGTGGAGAAAAGGGAACCCTCTTACACTGTTGGTGGGAATGCAAATTAGTACAGCCACTTTGGAAAACAGTGTGGAGATTTCTTAAGAAGCTGGAAATAGAACTGCCATATGACCCAGCAATCCCATTTCTGGGCATACACACCGAGGAAACCAGATCTGAAAGAGACACGTGCACCCCAATGTTCATCGCAGCACTGTTTATAATAGCCAGGACATGGAAGCAACCTAGATGCCCATCAGCAGACGAATGGATGAGGAAGCTGTGGTACATTTACACCATGGAATATTACTCAGCCATTAAAAAGAATTCATTTGAATCAGTTCTAATGAGATGGATGAAACTGGAGCCCATTATACAGAGCGAAGTAAGCCAGAAAGATAAAGACCATTACAGTATACTAACACATATATATGGAATTTAGAAAGATGGTAACGATAACCCTATATGCAAAACAGAAAAAGAGACTCCAATGTATAGAACAGACTTGTGGACTCTGGGAGAAGGCGAGGGTGGGATGTTTCAAGAGAACAGCATCGAAACACGTATATTATCTAGGGTGAAACAGATCACCAGCCCAGGCTGGGTGCATGAGACAAGTGCTCGGGCCTGGTGCACTGGGAAGACCCAGAGGGATCGGGTGGAGAGGGAGGTGGGAGGGGGGACCGGGATGGGGAATACATGTAAATCCATGGCTAATTCATTTCAATGTATGACAAAAACCACTGCAATGATGTAAAGTAATTAGCCTCCAACTAATAAAAATAAATGAAAAAATAAAATAAAAAAAAAAAAAAAGAGGAGGGAAGTGGCATACCCAGCTTTCCCAAACCAGTTGCCCATAACAGCAACCACGCAGGGCCAGCCAGTGGACTGCAGCAGGCCGTTCACGATCCACAGGCCGCAGTACAGCCCCTTGTTGTAGAGATGCAGCCATTCCGTGAGAGTGCCGAAGACGAACACCTTAGGGAAGAAGAAGGAGACGCGCATCACGTCCACATGGACACACCAACTCAAGACCCTCTGTGACAGACACACTCAACGTCTGCAGCCTGAGAGACTCACAGGAGACTGTTCAGATGCCCCTGCTCAGAGCTGCCCCGAGCAAGACAAGCATCAAACCACCCCCGACCAGAGAGGCAGAGAGGGCAGACAGCGTAAAACGCAGTGAGGAGCATCCCCCCAGCTTGCAACTTCAACTCTAAAAGACTGCGTCCCCATTGTGTGACCTTACATCTACTTCCCTTTCCTCTGGTTTATGGAGGACGGTAAAAAAGACTACTGGAGTTCACATGTGTTGACTCCCACGAGAACATGTGTAAATTCCAGGCACATTGTGGGGGCCAGAAAGCACCAGCTATTTTTATTAACCGTGGCTACTCAGTGTATCAGCATAGCTTGTGACTGACTCAGTCATTTGGTGGCATGTATCAAGTGACTGCTTTTTTCCAGGCATTCTGCTCGGGGTGGGCGTTTTATTTGCAGTCAATCTCCTTTGGGAATGTTTGGCGTGGGTTTAAAAACGGTGTATGTCTAATACTGTATGATTCCAGTTACACTGACATTCTGCAATGAGTGAAAACATAAGGACAGACCAACGGGCAGTGGTTGCCAGAGGCTGGGGACAGAAGGCAGGGTGGCAGTTACACAACTATAGTCACTTGTTAAAATTCAAAACTGTACACTGAAAGGGGTGAGTTTACGGATATACTTCAGTTTTTCTAAAAGTGTGTAAAAAAAAAAAAAAAGGAAAGAAGACACTGGGTTGGCCAAAAAGTTCGTTCAGGTTTTTCCCTAAACCCAAATGAACTTTTTGGCCAATGCAATACATATACAGGTTTTAAAACAGTTTGTATGTATGTGGGGTGAGCAGCTTGTGAATAAAGTGTTTCAATCTCTGAAATATAAAGGAAAATAATTTTTTCCCCCATCCAACAAAGGCAGACATTGAAAAACAATTAATAGGGTCTAACTAAGCCCCATGCTTTTACTCAATCAACAAATGCTTGTGAACAAATACAGATGATTCAAATATGGATCCTGCCCTCTGGAGCATGGAATACGCCAGGAACCGTTCCAAATGTGCCCCCCACCCCCACAGTAACTCACAGAACCCTCACTGCAACCTTGGGTGCAGGTATTGAAAAGCAGATCCTGAAGCACAGTGAAACCACAGCTGGAAGCTGCAGGGGAAGGACTGAAAGCCTGGCAGTGCAGCCCTGCGGAGTCTATGGTCTCCACCAGCCTGCTGCAGACTCCTAGGGACAACAGGGCTGACCGGAAACAAGCAGGCTGAGCGGCAGACAAAGGAAGTGCCTTCGAGGCAAGTCAGGGGCCGGGGCTCAGGACAGGGAGTGACAACTTCCAGGAGCAGGGTGGATAAAGTCAGGCATCTGACCAGTGACTTGAAGGAGATGATGAGTTAGACTATGAAGAGCTGAGCGGAGGACCCTGAAGGCAGGAAGAGCAGGAACAGCAGCAGTGAGGTAGAAAGGAGCAGGACGCGTGAGGGCCACGGAAGGCAGCTTGGTTTGGGAAAGCAGAGGGGTAACACGCAGAGCAGACACGACGGCAGAAGAGAGCTGGGACCGGGTTCTCGAGAGCACTGAACGCCACTCGAGTTATGCGGTGACTTTTGTTGGTGACTGAGAATCAAAGAAGGGGTGTGATTGAAATCACACTCTCAAGATGTCCCTTAACCAAAAAGGCACCCAAGGGATCAGAAAACCAAAGATTCATCTTACTGTTATATTCTACAGACAGAAGTAGGGGGCTTGCTTGGATTCTAAAATTCCTGGCCAAGATAACAGTGACTGGAATGAAAACAACAACGCTTTTCAACTTACCACTAATGCAGAAGAGCACATGCCAAAAGACAGAACCCATCGCAAATTCAGCCGATCCCCGACGATACCGCTGACGAAAAGGCCCTAAGAAGAAAGCATTTCATTTTACAGCTCTGGGTAACAACACAGCCTGCAAAAAGTAAGATACATTCGAAAGTAAATGAGGCAAACAAAGCCCCAAAATTACACCTCACTCTCGTGCTTAGCCTGACCTCTGTATCAGTCTCACCAGTGTTTCAAGAAACAACTGCTTCTGCACATTGTAAACATTTCATGCACCAAGACAGTGCAATCCAGTGCAAATTTCCCTTCTGTATGATCCCCCTAACTGCCTGAGACACCTAGGGGAAAAAAATAATTATAATAAAACAAGCACACAAATATACTTCATCTTCTAGAGCAGATAAACTCCAACATCAGTACCTGCTTTCCCAAAGGGATTCATCTTAGCCATTTGCATTCTGAATGAAGATGTTACAACATGTCCTACGGAACAGAAGCTTTAGGGGCACGTGCCCTGCCTGTTTAATCTAACCCTTGGGTTTCATCACACCACAAGGCAAGGAGACCAGGGAGGCAAAGATGGTAATTAGCTGAAGATAAGTGCAAGTGTTCTGCCTCTGCTTTCCTCCCACTGAGTGGCAGGAATTAAAAGGCTGAGCTCACGGCAGGACTTTCCAGGCTTCCCTGGTGGCTCAGACGATAAATAATCCACCTGCCAATGCAGGGACCTGGGTTCCATCCCTGGGTTGGGAAGATCCCCTGGAGGAGGGAATGGCAACCCACTCTAGTATTCTTGCCTGGAGAATTCCACGGACAGAGAAGACTAGCAGGCTACAGTCCATGGGGTCGCAAAGAGTCAGACACAACTAAGCAACTAAAACACACACACAGCAGGAAGGCAGACCAAAAAGCTAAGGGCAACACCCTTCAGGTTTCTTCCACAAACATGTAAAATGAATAAATGTCTTAACTAAATACCTAAATTCAGATACAGGTGTTTCTAATAAATTGACTATATCATACATATATATATTGTGGCTCAGCTGGTAAAGAATTTGCCTGCAATGCAGGAGACCTGGATTCGATTCCTGGGTTAGGAGGTTTCCCCTGGAGAAGGGAAAGGCTACCCACTCCAGTATTCTGGATTCTGGCCTGGAGAATTCCATGGACTGTGTAGGTCATGGGGTCGCAAAGAGTCAGACATGACTGAGCGACTTTCACACACACACACACACACACACACACACACACACACACACACGAGAAAATTTAGATGATAAACATCATAATAAATATTTCTCCCTCATTACTGTCAACCTTTCACTAAGTCAAAAGAGGGACCCACAAGCGTCAGAGAAGATTCTACGTTCTAAAGCTCCAATTCACATGGTCTTATGCTATACACCGGGTTTTCCTGGTGGCTCAAGAGTGAAGAATCTACCTGCCACTGCAGGAAATAAGGGTTCAATCCTTGAGTCAAGAAGATCCCCTGGAGTAGGAAATGGCAACCCATGCCAGTATTCTTGCCTGGAAAATTCCATAGACAGAGAGGCCTGTGGGGTACAGTCCATGGGGTCACAAAGGAGTCAGACACAACTGAGCAACTAAACAACAATCGCCTTATATATAGTAAAGGCAGAGAAGAAAATCTCTCAATTGTATTTCACATTAGGGACCTAATTTATTCTGTACTGCTCCAAATGCCCAGACAATACCTGGAAGTTACAGAAGGAAATGCAGCTCAATATAAAGAGCTACAATCACTGATTTTTTTTTTTTAATTTTGCCACACCATATAGTACGTGGGATCTCAGCTCCCTGACCAGGGATCAAATCCCCATCACCTGTACTGGAAGCAGAGTCTTAAATTCTGGACAGCCAGGGAAGTCCAGATCATTGATTTTTCATGGCACGTATCTTTTATCTCCTAAACCTATTTAATCCTATAGACAACTATATTACCATAACTCTATAGATAAGGAAACGATCAAAAAAAAGTTAAATTCCATTTTGATACTGAGTTTATCATAGCTACTTGGTAGCACTGAGCCACCATGAGACCACAAGACTTCCTCTAATACTTCCTCAAAGGCTGAAGGGGAAGCACCATTGGATGGGATTCTGTACTGAAAAGGCTGGGCTGAGGAGCTGGGCTAAATGATCCAACATCTGCTCCAACTGTGTCTGTAAGTTTCCTCTTCACAGAAAGGATATTCTAACAATTACCCAAATAAACACGTGGAGATGACACTGGGACTTTCACCCAGTACTTCACATCACCTGCACGGCTGCTGCTGTTTAGTCGCTCAGTCGTGTCTGACTCTTGGTGACCCCATGGACCGTAGCCCGCCAGGCTCCCCTGTCCATGGGATTCTCCAGGCAAGAATACTGGAGTGGGATGCCAATTCCTTCTCCAGGGGATCTTCCCCACCCAAGGATCGAACCCTCATCTCCTGCTTGGCAGGCGGGTTCTTTACCATCGAGCCACTTCAGATGTCCCCGATGACCGGTCAGGGACTCCAGCTGCCCGATTCCAGGATACTGCCTCAGTCAGAGCTGGCCCCGCCACCCTCTCGTGGTTCTCCTGCTCCCTCCCAGCCTCCCCGCCCCCCCCTCGTCTTCCCCAGCTGCAGATGCAGGAACCCCTTTCCCAGGGCCCAGCTCAGTCCTCCCACCTCATCAACTCTCCCTGACCTCTCTTCCCTCTCCTCACCAACTCTCTTGATGATTTTCATCCAATCTTGAAAAAAAATCATGTATGTGCAAAGGGCTCCGAAATCTCTACCTACACTCACGTCTCTGCTCTTCTCAAGGTCCTTCCTGGCCATCCTACCTACAGGACAAACTCACTGCCTGCCTGGTTCTACTCCACAGCACTTAGCACCTTTGAACACACTCAGGAATGTCCTTCCTTATGGCACTGTATTACTGTTTGTCTTTGTTCCCAGTCAAGAACAGAAGCTTTTTAAAGGTCGGGAGTTTTCCTGTGCTGCTCACTGATGAATTCCCCTCAAACGAGAAAACTACAAGGCATACACTATGTGCTCTAGAAATATCTGTCACATGGATGGACGGAGGGATAGATGGATGGATGGGAAGGACACAGAATATAAACTCCAGGGAAACTGAACTCTCCTCAGTCAGCATATTCAAAATCCCTCACCAACTTGGCAAGATGTGGAGTCATTTACATCTTTCCTCAACAGAAAAGCCTAGTGTTCTAAAACTTACCACGGCATAGGAGAAGAGGAAAATGGTGTCCAGCGTTCCGAGGAAAAGAGTGGCTTCCTCTGCGCTGGGAAACAAATGGTTGCTGCTCCAAATCTGTGGTCACACAACAAGAACCTGTTAAGTCTCACTGGGTCAAAGCACCTTCTGGAACCACCTCCGCCCACCCTCGCAGAAACCTGGGGAGGTTGAAAAGAGCTAATCAGCACTCTGTACCTGACGAAACCCATATGCAAACAGGTCCATGAGGCCACAGCGATTTGCATAATAACACTAAAATGCTATCTGCTTCTTCCCTTTTAACTGTTCCACTGATGGTGCAAAAGCGGTGGTGGGTAAAACTCCCGTGCCTGATCATGGATGGAGGCAGTTACACCATAAACTACACTATTAAGCACTGTATCTTTTACTGCCTCACAGTTCCCAAAAAGGGGCTATTTCACTGAAGAAAGTCCTTGGCACACACTAGACGCTCAATAAATATTTGTCAAGCATTAAAAATCATTAATCTTATTAAATCTGGCCAGATTCCCCACCCACCCCCCCTTTTTTTTAAATATTCTGTTCCATGAAGTAGAAAATACGCATCTAGTACTGAGCACACCAAAGAAAGACAGCTGTTTTGAGAAAACTGTGAGTTGCAGGCTGGAATGTCATTTTTCCTTGAAAGAGTGACTGACAGACAAAGGCTAGTTATTCAGATTTGGGTTTCTGGCAGATATTTCCTCCGAAAAGAATGAAATGAGCCTGTCACTTCCAAGACCCATTCAAAGGACAAGACAGACAAATGGATCTTAATGTAAGAGGATAAAAAAGTTAATTAATATAGTTTCAGATTCCACATTGTCACTAACCTTTAAGAAATTGCCTCTTGTCAAATTCTGGTATAGTATCAAAGACAAATATCCACAATTAACTAAAAAGGCTATTAAAATACTTCTCCCCTTTCCACTATGTACCTCTGAAAGCCAAATTCTCTTCATACCCTTCGAAGGATGTGCTACAAGAGACTGAATTCGGAAGCAGACACGAAAATCCATTGTCTTCTATTAAGTTAGACATGAAGAGATTTGCAAAAATGTTAAGGTCACTCTCCTTAGCAAGTGATTGTTTTTGTGGTTTTGAAAAAGTCGTTTTTCATAAAATGCTATTTATGTTAACATGTTATGGGTTACTTAGTTCATTTTTTAGTAATTTAAAACCAAGGTAGTTTTTTAATTTTTTAAAACTTCTCGGTTTTAATTTCTGAAACAGTAAGTCTCTATAAATACAAACTCGTAGCTCTTTGGGATCTCCAAATCAAGGAGTTGTACTAAATGATTTCTCAGATAGGTTATTATAGGAAAGAAAATTTGGGGATCTCCCTGGTACTCTAGAGTTAAGACTTCACCTTCCAATGCAGAGGGTGAGGATTCAATCCCTGGTCAGGGAGCTAAGACCCCATAAGTGCGCTAAAAAGCCAAACATAAACCAGAAGCAATATTGTAACAAATTCAATAAAGACTTTAAAAGTGCCCCACATCAAAAATATATATATATATACCTTGTCAAACAGAAAATTTTTTGACTTCAGAATATTAAAAAGAGGACCTTCTCCAGTGGCGCAGTGGGGAATCTGTTGGCCAGTGTAGGAGATGGGTTCGATCCGTGATCCAGGAAGATCCCACACGCCGTGTGCCACAACTACCGAGCCTGTGCTCTCCAGCCTGCGAGCCGCAACTGCCGAGCCCATGTGTCGCAACCACTGAGGCCTGTGCGCCTAGAGCCCGGACGTGCTCCGCTGCAGTGAGAAGACTCTGCCCCGCAACTAGAGAGTAGCCTCTGCTCTTCACGACTAAAGAAAGACCCAGCACAGCCAAAAATACAATAACTCACTAAATAAAATGATTTTTTTAAAAGAATATTAAAGAGAAAAACCACAAGCAGCAACTTTGAAAATACATCATCGCTTCACAGAATGCAAAATCCCCAAATTGTCAAGAGAATATATAAACTGTGACTGCAGTCCAGTGACTCATTTCTGTGCGGCTTGTGCCATCTGTCTTGTTACTGATGCCTTAACACTCACACTCTGCTTTCAGGAGCAAAAGACAGACACTCACAACTGAAACCCATCAGTACGTCAGGGTGACAACTTGGGGCCCTAAATACTTCCAATGAGAGTTACCTCACTACCTTTCCCTCGAGCCACAAGCTCTGACCCCTGATCCCATCCAGGCTCAACAGGACCCAGGATGAAGCCCTGCGGGGCACAAGCCAACGTGAGCCAGAGCTCACATTCAAGCAGCTGCTCACACTCAAGCAGTTTCAAGCGTTTTTTTCTTCACTCTCATGAGAAGCCACCAAAAACTCCCTGCAGGTGTGGCTGTCACAAAAACGGACAGATTTTAAACAGCTTTTTTCTGCTTTACTGCCAGAGTTCAGCTGAAGATATTACTGACTGCCTCCTTCACAAGTGCAAACAAATCCCAAAACTAAAAGAAAAAAAGCAGGATGAACAAAAAGATTCATAAAATAGGATGAAAGAAAAAAGGCTGGTGAAGAAAATTTACATCAATAATGCAGCTCCGATCAAGACAATTATACTAACAGGAGAGAAGATGACTGTCTTGAGGAAAATTGTGGGTCACAAGTTGAAAGGTCATTTTTGCTTGTAAGAGGGACTGACAGATGAACTCTAGTTACTCAGATTTGTTTACTGGCAGATATTTCCTCAAAAGAGAAGGAAATGAGCCCGAAAGTCACCGGCAAAGTAACTTTAAGCTGCCACAGTCTCTCCTGCCAGCCGGCGCCTACACAGAGCTACCGGGTGGAAGGACCAGCCTGTAGAGACCACACGGATGAGGCTCTTCTTGCGGGGGAGGGCCTGTATTAAGCTACGATGATTGCTGCACGTTGGGACACTTCCTGGAAGCACCAAAGGTCGTGGTGTGGGTTTCCTAAGCGAGAATGTTTATCACAGAGTGACAGCTCTGCATGGGGGTGGGGGAACTTCTGACATGAAAGAGCTTCCTGAAGCGGTGCACAGACGGTGAGCTGAAGCTGACTTGGGTTCAGGGCTCTGGTATCGGGTGCCGTGAGAACCGGCGTTAAAAGCAGCTGTGGTCAAGGTTGAGCTGGAATGCTGAGGGCACCTTGAATCCTGCTTTAGACTGGAGAGAAGAAGTTTAGACTCTGCACTCTGGAAGGACTGCGCTGTCTGGAATGATAAGACTTTCTAATTTAGTAGAAAAAAAATTCTTGTATAAAAAAAAATTGTTTATAAGTTTCAGTCAAGTTGTCCTCAAGTATTAGATTCAACCATTTCCTCTCCATTATCTATAAACTTAGATTTTATATTATGTTCTCTTACTATTTCCAATGTTTGTCCACATCAGTGGGATCCATTATGAAGTCTCAAGGTACAGAGACTATGGTCTGCTTATGTCTTTTGTAAAGCACCTAAGATAGCTATACATAAACATGAGAGCTATAATAAGTACTTTATGAAGACACTATTTAGGGTACTTAAGAAACATTGAATAATATATATAAAAAAACATTTTTTGGATTTTACACATACTTCTGGTTCTAAGAATCTTTTCACTTAGGACGAGAAGGGAAGGCTCAGAGGGAAGCTAGAGTCAAGACAAGTTATAGACACAGAAACACAGGAGGAGTGAAAGTAAATACTGCCCTAGCCACTCTGCTCTCAGCAGCAGCCTTCAGGAAAGAAAAAACCTGGATGTTTACGTCTAAAAGGGAATGGAAAGCTGGCACTGCTCTCCACCAGGGCAGGTACGGAAATACAAAGATCCCCAGATAAGTCAGAACCTGACTTCTACATAACCAATCCATCTGAACTCCTGAAGCCACAGTTTTGAACAAATCAAAATTTGTTTTTGTTCAGTCGCTAAGTCATATCTAACACTTTGCAACTCGGAGGACTGCAGTCCATCGGGGTTCCCTGTCCTTCACTATCACCCGGAGTTTCCTCAAACTCATGTCCATTGAGTTGGTGATACTATCCAACCATCTCATCCTCTCCCAGCCTCTTCTCCTCCTGCCTGAAATCTTTCCCAGCATCAGGGTCGTTTCCCATGAAACCTATTTTAATAAGCAGCAATTAGAATAAGTAAGTAAATAAATATCTTAGCAGGAAAGTTAATGGAAGTTCAACATGCACTAACAACGTGACTTGGTTACTGGCAGGAAAGAGTTACATAGCAGACCTGATACATATCCTTAAACAGATCTATCTGGCAAGGCTGGCCCCTGGAACCTTGGGACGGTTCCCATCATTCCCTGCCAAGAGTGGCTCCCTGTGCCTCCACTGCCTGTCCCAATAATATGGTTTGTGCTGAACACTTGCTTTCCTTATGGGAATGTGGAATTTTCATACATGCCAGGCAGAGGATGCCGTTATGACCAGCCCCAATAAAAATCCTGCCACCAAGTCTCCAATGGGACTCCCTGGTAGACAATATCTCACTGGGGTGTCAGGACTTGTTGCTGGAATTAAACACATCTATGATGCAGACAGACAGACATGACTGAGTCAGACACGCGCGCGCGCACACACACACGAGGGACTCCTGGAAGGTTTTGCCTACTTTCCTCTAGACCTGCCCCTATGTGTTTTCCCTTTGCTGACTTTGCTCTATATCCTTCCACTGTAATAAACCATAGTTTTGAGTCATTTGCTGAGTCCTGTGAATCCCTCTAGTGAATCACCAAATCTGAGGGTGGTCTTGGGGACCACCTATCAATTATCTTAAAAACAAAGGCAGTATAACCAAAACTGTAGTGCCTAAATCAATTCTGTTATTCTATATACTGATCAGCCTGTATCTGAAATAGCACATTTAGAGCCTGGCATCACAAAATTATACCTGAAGAAGCAGCACAGATGTTCTGCCTAAACAGGAGAAATTTAGGGAGACGGATTTTCCGCAAATATTTGAGAGGCAGCAAGAATCAACTTAGGACGCAAGGCTCAGGAAAAAACCTAAGATCAAAACTAAAGCGAACACTCTCCCCTTAGCATAAGAAAGAACTTCTGAACAATGAGAGTTAAATAAAAATGTAATTGTCCACCAGAGAAAACAAGGAGTTTCTTCACCCTGAAGTACTAACGTAGAAGTTGGGTGGTCACTATTCAATGATGGTTAAGAAAGGATTTGATGCTGGCTGAGAAGTTAGAGCACATGACCTCTCTTGGCCACTTCATCTCTAGGGTTAATGACACGTCAGTGAATGATCAAACGTACTCACTATGCACGCAGCACTGGTCAAGCCCCAGTCAAGAAATCTAGCCATCTAGTCTTAAAAGCTTGCCTTTCAAAAGTCATAGTCAATAAGAGTTCAAAACGCAATACTTGGGTGCAGCCTCAAAAATGACAATGATCTCAGTTCATTTTCCAAGGCAAACCATTCCGTATCATAGTAATCCAAGTCTATGTCCCAACCACGGATGCCGAAGAAGCTAGAGTTAACGGGTTCTATGAAGACCTACAACACCTTCTAGAATTAACAATAAAAAAAAGATGTCCTTTTCATCACAGGAGATTCGAATGCAAAAGTAGGAAATCAAGAGACATCCGTAGTAACAGGTAACTTTGGCCTTGGAGTACAAAAATGAAGCAGGCAAAGGCTAACAGAGTTTTGTCAAGCGAACACAACAATCACAGCAAATACCCTTTCACAACAATCTTAGAGACAACTCCACATGTAGACATCACCAAATAGATGCTCAGTATCAAAATCAGATTATGTTCTTTGCAGCCTAAGAATGAGAAGTTCTATATGGTCAGCAGAAACAAGACCTGGAGCTGACTGTGGCTCAGAACTAGAGTTAACTATTGCAAAATTCAGGCTTAAATTAAAGAACATAGGAAAACCACTATGCATTCAGGTATGACCTAAATCAAATCTCATGATTGATTATACAGTGGAGGTGATGAACAGATTCAAGGGATTAGGCCTGGTAGACAGAGTGCCTGAAGAACTATGGACAGGGGTTCATAATACTGTGACGGAGGCAGTGATCAAAGCCATCCCGAAGAAAAAGAAATGGAAGTAGGCAAATGGTTGTCTGAGGTTTTACAAATAGCTGAGGAAAGAAGAGAAGTGAAAGGCAAGGGAGAAAGGCAAAGATATACCCAACTGAATGCAGAGTTCGAGAGACTAGCAAGAAGAGATAAGAAAGCCTTATTCAATGAGCAACACAAAGAAATAGAGGAAAACAATAAAATGGGAAAGACTAGAGGTCTCTTCAAGATAACTGGAGATACTAAGGGAACATTTCATGCAACGATGGGTGTGAGAAAGGACAGAAACAGTAAGGACCTAACAGAATCAAGAGATTAAGAAGTGGCAAGAATACACAGAACAACTATACAAGAAAGGTCTTCATGACCCAGATAACCATGGTTGTGCGGTCAGTCACCTAGAGCCAGATCTCCTAGAATGCAAAGTCAAGTGGGCCTTAGGAAGCATCACTACAAACGAAGCATCACTACAAACAAAGCTAGTGGAGGTGATGGAATTACAGCTGACCTATTTCAAATCCTAAAAGACGATGCCGTTGAAGTGCTGCACTCAATATGCCAGCAAATTCGGAAAGCTCAGCAGTGGCCATAGAACTGGTAAGGTCAGTTTTAATTCCAATCCCAAAGAAGGAGAATGTCAAAGAATGTTCAAACTACTGCACAACTGCACTCATTTCACATGTAAATAAGGTTATGCTCAAAAATCCTTCAAGTTAGGTTTCAGGAGTACATAAACTGAGAACTTCTAGATGTACAAGCTGATTTAGAAAGGGCAGAGGAACCACAGATCCAATTGCCAACATCTGCTAAATCATGGAGAAAGCAGTGGCACCCCACTCCAGTACTCTTGCCTAGGAAATCCCATGGACGGAGTCTGGTAGGCTGCAGTCCATGGGGTTGCGAAGAGTTGGACACAACTGAGCGACTTCACTTTTGCTTTTCACCTTCATGCATTGGAGAAGGAAATGGCAACCCACTCCAGTGTTCTTGCCTGGAGAATCCCAGGGATGGGGGGGGCCTGGTGGGCTGCTGTCTATGGGGTCACACAGAGTTGGACACGACTGAAGCAACTTAACACCAGCAGCAGCAGCTAGCTCATGGAGAAAGCAAGGGAATTCCAAGAAAAACATCTACTACTGCTTCACTGACTATGCTAAAGCCTTTGATTGTGTGGATCACAACAAACTGGAAAATTCTTAAACAGATAGGAATACCAAACCACCTCACCTGCCTCCTGAGAAACCTGTGTGCAGGTCAAGAAGCAATAGTTAGAACTGGACATGGAACAATGGACTGGTTCAAAATTGGGAAAGGGTATGTCAAGGCTGTATATTGTCACTCTGTTTATTTAACTTACATGCAGAGTACATCATGTGCAATGCTGGGTTGGATGAATCACAAGCTGGAATCAAAACTGCCGGGAAAAATATCAACAACCTCAGATAAACAGATGATACCACTCTAATGGCAGAAAGTGAAGAGGAACTAAAGAGCTGCTTGATGCGGGTGAAAGAGAGTGAAAAGCTGGCTTAAAATTCAACATTCAAAAAACTAATATCCTAGCATCCAGTCCCATCATTTTATGGCAAATAGAAGGGGAAAAAGTGGGGGCTTCCCTCATAGCTCAGTTGGTAAAGAATCCACCTGCGATGCAGGAGACCCGGGTTCGATCCCTGGGTCAGGAAGATCCCCTGGAGAAGGGAAAGGCTACCCACGCCAGTATTCTGGCCTGGAGAATTCCATGGACTGTATAGTCCATGGGTCGCAAAGAGTCGGACATGACTAAGTGACTTTCACTTCACTTCAAGTGGAAACAGTGATAGATTTTATTTTCTTAGGCTCCAAAATCACTAGGATGGTGACTACAGCCATTGATGCAGCGTATTAAAAAGCAGAGGCATCACTTTGCCAACAGAAGTCTGTAGAGTTAAAGCTGTGGTTTTTCCAGTAGTCATGAACAGATGTGAGAGTTGGACCATAAAGAAGACTAAGCACAAGGCAATTGATGCTTTTGAATTGTGGTGCTGGAGAAGATTCCTGAGAGTCCCCTGGACAGCAAGGAGATTAATCCAGTCAATCCTAAAGGAAATCAACCCTGAATATTCACTGGAAGGACTTATGCTGAAGGTGAAGCTCCAACACTGGCTACCTGATGCAAAGAACCAACTCATGGAAAAGACCCTGATGCTGGGAAAGACCAAAGGCAAAAAGAAGGGGGTGGCAGAGGATGAGATGGTTAGATGGCATCAATGACTCAATGGACATGAATTTGAGCAAAAACTCCAGGAGACAGTGGAGAACAGAGGAGCCTGGTGTGCTGCAGTCTATGGGGTCACAAAGAGTCAGGTGTGACTTAGCCACTAAACAATAAGAAAAACAGAATTGTGTGATTTCAAAACAGTGAGAAATAAGTTGATTGAAATGGTAAAACAGACCTAAATCAGAGCAAGCTAAGAAAGCAGGCAGAACAGTTTGGATTTTATACCACAGGAAAGAGTAAGTCATCCAAAGGATGAATAAAATAAAACAGAACTTAATTTATGGGTGGACAAGGTTCCCTTCTTAAATTCATCCCAGCTCTTTCATCTGCTTACCTCCACAGGCAGTAATTCAATTGACTTGTTAAAAGCACTTGGGGTCCACTGCTTAGAGATACTGACTTTGACATTGCTAAATGTTTTTCTTGACGCATGGAGCAACGAGTAACTACAAAAGAAAGAGGAAATATAGCTGAATGCATAAAAAAGAAAACACATTCGATAAAATCACAGGTGTATTGCCATGTTTGACCCAATTTTAGACTTCTTCTCTTTTAAAAAAGAAAGAGTACTGCTTTATAAGAACTATCCATTGAAACAGCCTCCACTAAGAAAAGAAGCAATTAACTTGTCTTCTTCCATATAAACCCCCATGTTCACCTGTAACAGGTCCCTGGACCTAGAAGATGGAGATGTGATGGATCCCAACCGTTAAAATCATGGTTGCAGTTCTGTAAGGTCAAGTCTTTAGCAACCTCTGGCCACTCCCTACACTAGCCATTCAGTAGCTTTTTCCTTGAGGCCTGTCTTTTCCTCAACCCCTCACGAGTGAATTTCCTATAAAGCAAGTATCTAAAATTACCTACTAACTCTTACATAATTAGAAAAACATTTTCCTAGTTTCTGCCTTGAAAAAAAAATTATTTGTGGTGCCTTCAATAAACATTAATAATAAATAAAATCTACTCAGAAGAAATAGTCAAATACTGAGTCACAGAATTTGTGAATACTGTGCCCCTAACACCAAAAAGTCTGGCTGACATCATCAACAGACCACTATCGAGAGCGACCAAGGGCCCTTGAGTCAGACAGTCAATTCTTTGGTCATGCTGACTGGGCAGCTCTCATAAGAGTATCCAAAATTCCTCACAGAGGTCTCCTACCATCTCTACTGCTCAATGAGGCACAGAGCACTCCCTGGAAATGCACATCCTTTGCTTTCAAGCTCCTGGTTTTAACAATTAAAGGACTTTATATCAAATCAAGGTTTTTTAATCATAGCAATACTGACATTTTGTGTTAGTTGCTCAGTTATGTCCGACTCTTTGCAACTCCATGGACTGTAGCCTGCCAGGCTCCTCTGTCCATGGGATTCTCCAGGAAAGGATACTGGAGTGGGTAGCCATTCCCTTCTCCAGGGGATCTTCCCAACCCAGGGATCAAACCTGCAGCTCCTGCATGGCACACAGATTCTTCACCGTCTGAGCCACCAGGGAAGCCATACTGACATTCTGGGCTCCCCAAGTTCTCTACCACGGGGGGTTGTCCCAGGCACTGTAAGATGTCTAGTGGCATCCCTGGTCTCTACTCACTAGATACGAGCAGCACCCATTCCCCCAGCGTGACAACTAAAAATGTCTTCAAACATTGCCAAATACAGGAGAGAATGGAGAACCACAATACTAGAGCTATCACAAAGAACAGCAGAACTTTAGTCAGGCCAATCTTGCCATGCAACAAACAGCTTCGGAGGTCCACTTACCTGAAGAAGGTGAGCAGGAACACGACCACGTGATGATGGCTGAACCGGGAGAGCAGAGTTCCTCTTTGAAAAATATTTGGCCAGGCCATGTTCCTCCTGAGCTTCCTTCTCACTGTGACCATAAAGTCTGGATGGTGAATGGTTTACATCATTTCTTCTTTCTGGAAAGATAAAACACATAATTAACATTACTCATATAGGCATATTATCCAAAAACAGAATTATTTAGATTTAACACTATATAATCAGGCCTTGGGGGGAAAAAAAAAAAATCACATGGATTAGTTGACACCAGAAAACCAGATTGATAATTATGTATTATAGCTATCAGCCAGTCTTTTAAAAAGAAATCCTGGACAAAAGATTACATCCTAACAGAATGAACTCTCACACAGACTGACAGGAAGATCACTAATTCAGACCCGAAAATGAGCAAAGAAATGAATAGACAACTCAGAAGAAATGAAATGGCTATTAAACTTATCAAACAAAAGTTTTAATTTCATTATAACATAAGAAATGCCAATTATGGTGATAAAAAAAAGTTTGCACAGTTAAAAAGACTGTTCAATGTAGCTCAAGATCTAAAGATCCTAAACTCTCATACACTGCTGACAGAAGTGAAAATTAACACATTTTACAGGAAGATGATCTGGCCGTGTTCATCAAGAGCCGTTGACCAAAAAAAAAAAAAAGAATTCAACTGTCACGGATCTATCCCTAAAGAAATACAAGATACATTCAACTCTATATAAAAGGAAGTTTTCACAAAAAGTCATTTCTTCTTATGTGAAGAAACAAACTCTGTGTCAGTCATAAAGCAACAGGAGAAACAGGGCCATTCCTCTGCCATCTCTTTCCACTACTTCCTCTCACCTCTCCTCTGCCCTCTCAGAAAGTCTCATCCATGCTCTGACGTCCAAGAATAATAAAGCATAAAGTAAGCATCTAAACTTACTGTCTCCAGTTATGAGTCTGCAGAAACAATCTAAACATGTAATAAGATGGGAAAAATTAAAACAAATTACAGTGGCTGAATTACATCTGGCTGAATATTTTATCATTTTATCATTTGACATGATGATTAAGACTTGTTTTTTTGGCTGTGCTGGGTCTTCATTGTGCCGCCCGAGCTTTCTCTAGTTGGAGCCAGTAGGCTGAGTTGCTCCAAGGCACGTAGGTTCTCAGTTTCCCAACCAAGGATCGAACCTACATCCCCTGCACTGGAAGGCAATTAAGACTTCTTCATAACATGAGAAAATGTCAGGTGAAAAAAGTAGGATATGACATATAAACGTAATCAACCGAATTCTGCTGCTGCTGCTAAGTCGCTTCAGTCGTGTCTGACTCTTTGCGACCCCACAGATGGCAGCCCACCAGGCTCCCCCGTCCCTGGGATTCTCCAGGCAAGAACACTGGAGTGGGTTGCCATTTCCTTCTCCAAAGCATAAAAGTGAAAGTGAAGTTGCTCAGTTGTGTCCGACTCTTCGCGACCCCATGGACTGCAGCCTACCAGGCTCCTCCATCCATGGGATTTTCCAGGCAAGAGTACTGGAGTGGGGTGCCATTGCTTTCTCCAAACCAAACTCTAGGTTTACATAATATTTACAAGTATATAAGTTATATATAGCTCTTTCTGGGTAGCAGGAATATAGGTAGTTTTAGTTTTCTATATACTTCCCTAAAAGTTCTACAACAAAAGTGTATCTTACTGTGGAAAACATCCACAGGGTTGGGAAAGTTCTGTGATTTATCTGCACAGTAGGAAAAAATAAAATTAACAAAGTATCTTGTATTTTAAACATATAAATATCATGTATTATAAACAGTCAAGGTAGGAGACAAACTCAAGAGCTCCCAACACTAAAGTCAATTTATCACAGGACTTTGCCCAAGGCTGTGTTCCCTGTACCTGCTATTTATAATCCTGTTCTTTATTATAATTCATACTACCGCTTGGCAGGTGAACTGAAAACCTTAAATATTGAAGATACCCAGCTGAAAGGCCATTCTTGAAACTTTGCAATAAAAAGTACAAAGCTGAGGTGGTTAAAATTATATAAACACACGCACACACAAAAAATTATATAAACACGATAGCTGATTCACCAACTGGCTGTGAGCCTTAGGACTAGTCAGTCTCTCTGATTCACAGATACGTCACTTGTAAAATGGCCTCTCTTCTGAGTTGAGACCACAATAAACAACATATGCAAGGTATTAAGATAATTATTTAGGTCACTGATTTGCCCACAGTTAATCCCATAACAGGAATATGTAGCTAATTTCATATACTCATTCTCCTTGAAAAATGTTAACAAAATTATGGGCCAAGTAAGATTATAAATCTCCACTCACAAAAATGTAAATAAACTTTCTGTCTATAATTCCAGGAAGTGACAAACCCAAGAGCTACTAGTGTTACTGCTAAATTTACCTCCATCCCCCAAATTAAATTTGACACCCAAGTGAAACAACTCCAAGCTTTAACCATTCTTTACAAACCCTAGTTCTTTGAACTGAACACATTCACAACTCAAAACGCTGGACTGAATACTTCAGAAAAGGGCATGGGTTACAAAATTCTACAATTAATCAGGTAAGATAATAATTCCAAAAATATATGCTCCAACAGACCTTGATTACGTTGCTTCAGCAATAATGGTTGAGGATTTCAGGGCTGTAAGCAACAATAATGGTTTTAAATGACTACCATCTGGAAAGACTCCTGGCGTGGGTTGCCATTTCCTTCTCCAGGGGATCTTTCCAACCCAGGGATCAAGCCCAGGTCTCCTGCATCGCAAGCAGACTCCTCCACTGCAGGCGGATTCTTTACTTACTGAGCCACCGGGGAAGCCCAGTGGTTTTAAACGACTACTAAGATGTTTGAGACTACCTAGATTTAGTTCCTCCCCACTCCAGTACTCTTGCCTAGAAAATCCCATGGACGGAGGAGCCTGGTAGGCTGCAGTCCATGGGGTCTTGAAGGGTTGGACACGACTGAGCAACTTCACTTTCACTTTTCACTTTCATGCACTGGAGAAGGAAATGGCAACCCACTCCAGTGTTCTTGCCTGGAGAATCCCAGGGACGGGGGAGCCTGGTGGGCTGCCATCTATGGGGTCACACAGAGTCGGACACGACTGAAGTGACTTAGCAGCAGATTTAGTTTGTAAATAAACCACTTTTTCCTTAGCTACAGTGACGGGAGAGAAAATGCTTCATAATTACAATGGGAAAGTGTTTTAAACATTCACCTGATGTTGGCAGAAAGCCATTTAAAATGAATATTATTACAACACCTGGTCCTAGGTAATTATAATCATTAACAATACCTTATACTTATATGCCCTACATCACAGAAGTGATTTCTGATCATCTGTGAGCTCTGGGGCCTTTGGTAAGCACAGAGTTTTTACCAAGTCTGAGTCCATCAAGCACATTCTATTTTTATACCATTTTCTTTCTGGCTCTTAGGATAGATTGAACAAATCTAACATTTTTCAAGTGTAAAAGTGCTGTTATAATCAATAAAAACCAAAATTCATTTTAAGTGTTTCTAAATTAATAGAAACTGGTCATTTAGTATTTTCTTAATCCATGAATACTGAATATACAAATGTCATGGGAGAATAAGAATGATCTTTAAAAAAATTAAACATATAAGAAGTTAGGTCCTGTATGACAAAAACCACTGCAATGATGTAAAGTAATTAGCCTCCAACTAATAAAAATAAATGGAAAAAGAAGAAGTTAGGTCCTGAAAAAAAAAAAAAAGAAGTTAGGTCCTTACCATCAGAAAGAACCATCAAGCCCTGTTCTATAATACTTCTCAAGGCAAGATCGAGATCACTAACTCATTTGATTTGTCAGGAAGCTTTCTGGAGACCCATAGCATCTTCCACACAAGGTGGAATGGAATTCCCAGAATGGAATACTCTGTATCATGTGATCCAGGCTGAATGAAAGGTGGCTTCACCTGTGACACGTCCAGGCAGAGGGCAATCTCCCCCTTATAAACACTGCCTTGGAATGTAAGACGTTCCACAAATTTCACTTTCCACACATATTTAGAATCCATTCCAACTCAAATATAAGAAGAATTAAAGTTTTCTTGGGGGGAAACAGACTGCAAAGAGGAAAGGCAGAAAAAAGGCAGAAAAAGTGACCACCTGCCACCTCCATCTCATCAGACCCAACCTCGCCCAGCCACCCCACCCCACTGCGGGAAGGAAATGCTCTCTGGAAATGGACAGAAGTGGTTAATCAAGTTCTGTATATCAGGACCCTGTTTTGCAAGTTCCTGCCTTTCTTACTTACCCTGGTGGACTCCTGCCTGCCCCTAGATAACACCACTTCCCCCCAGGGTCTTTCAGGGAGACGCAATCTTACTTCTCACAACCACTTTTCCTCCTGGCGAAACCCCAGCTTCTCTGAAGCTCCTGGGCCTTGCTGCCCACTGCCCCTCCCAGCTCTTGTCCCCTGCTCTCCCACTGTCCCCCTGTTCTGTCTCTTGTCAACACCCAAGGGGATAACCCCACAGTCCCTTGGCCTCTTCCCCACCAATCTTTTCTTCTATTGCACAAGAAAAACCCACTCCGTGGTCAAAACCCAGCCAGTTTCCAGTCAACAGTAAGGGCTTCAACCAGTCAGCGCTAAGTGCATCCAGTATTCTCCAGGCAAGAATACTGGAGTGGGTTGCCATTTCCTTCTCCAGAGGATCTTCCTAACCCAGGGATCGAACCTGGGTCTCTCACAGTGCCGGCAGATTCTTTACCGGCTAAGCCATGTCTGCCTTTTCACCTCCCAAACTGGATTTCAAACATCCAACTTTCCTTCCTTCCAGAAAACTGCTTACTTCAAACTCTCCACTCAAACAGTCATTTTACCTCAGCAAGCTCCCAACTCAGTCACCTCCCCATGTTTTCATCCATGACCCTCCTCTTGTCCTCTTCCTCTTCTTTCCCAACTTAGAATCTAGGCTTATCTGCCTTATGAGCCTTTTTTTCTTGCTTGCCTCTGGCCTCCTCCTCTGCACCTAAACGGTGGAGTTTTGCCAGAGAAAAATCACATGAGCGGGCTGGTTTTG